GCAAACATATATATATATATATATATATATATATATATATATATATATATATATATATATATATATATATATATATATATATATATATATATATACATATATATATATACATATATATATATATGTATATATATATGTATATATATATATATATATATATATAATTATATATATATATATATATATATATATATATATATATATATATATATATATATATATGTATATATATATATATATATATATATATATATATATATATATATATATATACATATACATATACATATATATGTATCTATCTATCTATCTATCTATCTATATATATATATATATATATATATATATATATATATATATATATATATATATATATACATAAGTATAATTTATCATTGTTATTATTATTGTTATTATCATTATCATTATCATTATAATTACCATCATCATTATTATTATTATCATCATCATTATCATCATCATATTCATTATTGTCATTATCATTATCATTATAATTATTATCATTATCATTATCATTAACATTGTCAATATCATTTTCAATATCATCATTATTATTATTAGTTGTAGTAGTAGTAGTATTAATAGCAGTAGCATTATTATCGTTATTATCATTATTATCAATACTATTATTGTTATCATTATTATTATAATTATCATTATTAACATCATTACCATTAATGTTATAATCAATATTATTATTATTTTTATTATTATTATTAGTAGTAGTAGTAGTAGTAGTAGTATCATTTTCATTGTTACTATTAATATTATTGTTATCATTATTATTTATTATTGATATTCTCATCATTATTATTATTATTATCATCATCATCATCATTATTATTATTATTATTATTATTATTATTATTATTACCATCATTATTATCTTTATTATTATTATCATTATCACCCTCATCATCATTTTACTATTTTCAATACTTCTTTTGTTACCATTATTATTATCATTATCATTATTATCATTTGTCATTATTACCATCACCATTATTATCAAGTCTTGTCATCCTTATGGTTATTATCATTATCATCCTTATAGATATTATTATTATCAATATTGTCATTAACCTCAGTATTGTTATTATCATTATTATCATCATCATTGTTGCTGTTGTTGTTTTTGTTATCATCAGTATTAGTATTAGTATCATGACAATTGCTACCATCATTCCATTAATCACTATGATTACCATCACCATTGGCATCATTATCATTATTTTATTATTGTCATTGTTATTATTTTTTTATCATTATTCTTGTTGTTATTATTACTATCATTATAACCATTATTACTACCATTATCATTATCATTATTATTTCATCATTATCATCATCCTTTTTATTGCTATTATGTCTATTACTATTTTTATCATCTTTATTGTTACTATGATGATTATTATTATTACTATTATTATTTTCATTATCGTTGTCAGTATCATATCTTTTCTATTGTTTATTATTATTATCATCATTTTGATATATAGAATTATTGCTATTAGTATCATTATCATTATTATGATTATTGTCATTATTATTATTGTTATTATAATCTAGAATGTTTTAGCGTGATTATTATTGTTATCATTATTATTAGTATTAGTATTATCATTTTTATCACTATTATCATCATCACTATCATTATCATCTATATCATTATCGTTTTTGTTGTTATGATTATCACAATCATTATTATTATCATCATTATTATCACTTTATTATGATAAGGATAATTATTGTTACTATTTTAATCATTTTTTCATTATCCTCATTATTGCAATTATCATTATTTTTATTGCGATTATCATCATTATCATTATCTAATCATTACTATTATTGTTATCATGATTATATTATTATCATTATCATTGCCATTAACATCATCAGTATTATCGTTATTATTATTATCATTGATATTAACATTTTATCAATATTTTCAATATCATTTTCATCATCATTATTATCATTATCCTCAATTATCAATATCATTATCCTCGTCACCTTTGTCACCAATATTTGCGTTTTGTCCCTATTACTATTTTCATTGTTATTATCATGACAAATGTTGTTTTTAATATTGGTTGTTGTCACCACCATTATCATTACTATCCTAAGTAGTAGTGCTTGTATTGTTACCATTATCAGTATTCATATTATTTTTTCATTATTATCATTATCATTATAATCATCTTATTACTATTATTATTATTGTTATCATTAATGTTCCCATTTTTATCTTAATTGTTGCTGTTATTTTTGCTGTCACCATTTTCATTGGTATTGCCATAATTATCGTCATTATCATTACACCTCCATAAGTATCCTATTTCTTATAAATACTCTCGTTATCAACATTATTACTATTGATTTTGTTCTTGTATTATTGTTTTTACTGTCATTATCATTATCAGGATAACTGCCAGAAGGATTTTTTTTTTAATTTGTTATCATACTATTAACAGTACTCTTTTATGTTCTTTTCTTTATCTTAAGCTTCATTTCAAAACTAGAAATTCAGGCTTTCTTCCCATATTTTTATTTTATTTTATTTTATTCTATTCTATTTCATTGCTTTTCCTTTTATTTAACAGTGCCAACTACTTTCCAAAACAAAGGAAGCTTAGCTGTAATGTGATGATGTGATGACACTGAGACAGATGGAGAAAGTGACTGATAAATGAAGTTCCAGTGAAGTGATGATCTTCCTTGCACCAATGAATGAATGAGTGAATAAATGAGTAAGTAATCTGGAAATGAAATTCAAACAGTTACCCTGTACATCTATCAGCACATCGAATAAAGGTACTTTATAAAATCACATCTTTCGCCACAAGCATCTTTTAGCAAACATATTGCTAAATGCTCGAAATGTCAGGCACAAATATCCTTCAACATCCTCTCTACACTCACTCCGCTGAATATACACACCTCAGAAGACGCATGTCTCTGGACACACATCTCTGAACACTCGGATCTCTAGATGTTCTCATTTCTAAATACATAAAACGATTAGTTTTCTACACATTTGCAACTCTAGCCCTTTATATATCTTAACGCTTACATCTGTGAATACTTACAGCTCTAAATATTCACGTCTTTAAATAACTCAGATTTCAGAAACGCTCCCTCTAAAATAGTTTACTACAATACTCCATACATCACATTCTAAAATACTTTAAATACAATCCCATGTAGAAAACTCAATTCAAACACATCTGACACATTCTAAACACAGATCTCTAAATACGCTTGAAATGTACCTCTATGCACGCTTAGCTCAAAGCTCACAACTAAACATTCACGCCTTTGCGCGCATTTCTAAACCCAGCCATCTTTCAGACACTTATCTTAGAAATGTCTCCCATCTCAAAACACAGAAGTAAAGTCATTCAATCGCACAAAAGACACACCCCGTGGCTCAAAAAAAAATGGCAAAACAATCTCAAAAACAAAATCCCGCCTCAAAGTACAACTCAGAGCTCAACTACAACTCCAACCACTCGAAACTCTCAACGCATCAACCTCACATGTTAGGAACTCACGCCTCAAAGTCAGAGCTCCGCAGAGTCAGCTCGACGATAGCGCAGAACCATCTGAAAGGGGCGACTCTAAGCTCAACCTTCCCGATAGCCCATTCACCAAGCCCGCGGGAGGGTGATTGAGCCGGGGGGGGTGTGGGGGTGCGCCCACCGAAAGATCCCCAGCCATGTACATGCTTGCGGGAGTGTAACGGGCTGGCCCGGGGTTGGTGCATGGTGGTGTCGTTTATCCCCTCTCGCAGACGAGGCTCCAACTACCGGGAGGTATAGGAAACCGAGAAAAGTTCTGAGAGGTGCGTCGGCTAAATGACTTCTATACAGGACACTGGCCGTGTGGCGTGTAGTGTGGTGCACTCAAGGCGTGGAAACGGCGTGCACGGGTTGAGATTGGACCTAGGCGTCTGGGTAACGTCTGTGATGTGGGATGTTGGATCGGCTAAAACAAGGGGCCTGCCGAAGTGTGTATATGGCCGTCTGTGGTTAAATCGGGGGATCAAACAGCATAGAAGGTCAGAGATAATGAAGCCGACTAAATACCATAAACCTAAAGCTTGCGTAACCATCTTACTTTCTATGAGATGAGTAAGCTGGAATGGAACGTAGAAGCGCATTAAATATGTCTGCTGGAGTGTGTGGTCGACATAAAGTAGATACGGAACGGGTAGCACTGATCGGATGGGGTGAATGAGGCGTGTGCGGGTGTGGGTGGGGACTACCCTGTGAGTGAGAAGATCGCGACAAAGGGCCTAACCTAACCTAAGCGGTGTGGCTAGCAATTAGATGGGAAGAGTGGGATGGGCAAGAGGTTGGGAATTAAAGGCGCAGCTGGAAGGATTGACATGTGGAAAATGCATGAAAAGGCGTGGATAGACTGAAGACGTCCTGTGTAAGTGCGAGGGCGTGGCGCGTGAAAGCCTACATGCACGGTAAATGAAGAAAAGGTGGAGCCACTAACTAGAGCAGAATGGGGTGATACGGAGGAGAATGAGCGATTCTGAAAAATAGTGATGAGAATGTGAAATAATTTGGAAAAGGGGCCAATTAAGTAAGATGAAGAATTTCGGAAAGAGGGCAACCATGCCTGAGAGGATAGACAGGAGTAGGAGAGGGGAGAGTAGGCGGGGAAAGTATGAAGGAAAAGGTAAAAATCCGTCGAAAGACAGCTAAAACAAACCCTAATCCTAACCTATTAACAGCCCCCGTATAAGTCCCTAATCCAAACCTAACCTAAGAGAAACAACAAAGAGATAATCAGAACCCCGCTAAACCAACCTAACTCCTCTGGAAACAGGCAGCCTGAAGAGACAGCGAAGAGATAGAGAGAAAAGGAGAGAGAAGGGGGTCAACAACGCGTGGGCGCGGGAGAAAGTAGAGGCAATGCCTCTATGGTGAGAAGACAACAAAACACGTGCAAATAAACAGACCACC